ATTGAAATCTGAACTTGGCTGTCCATGACTCCATCATAACATATCTATTTCTAAAGAATGAATGGATTTATTTTTAATCCAACATTTTTATTACATCAAATGTTATTTTTAGTGGATACCCATTTTTGAGTAGACACCTCATTTTTTTTTTTTTTTTAAAACATTATCAGCCTGCATACCCAAGAAAAATTAAGAAAGTGTGCCCTCCAGTACTGCTTAGCTACGGAGAGTGTCAGAGTTCACCAAGATTCTCCGTGCCAAAGGAACGGCATTCCTTAAAAAGGCAAAGATCCTCTCTAGCCGAGTGCTCTAAAGCATGGTGGATCAAACAGTGATTTCTCTTACAAAGGTGGATACAGGTTCGAACCATGCCAGAGGGCATATTTTTTTAAAGTTTTCTCAAATGTGGATGCCAGTAGACAAACTGTTAAAAAAAAAACAAAAAAAAAACACAGGGCTTCTCATAAAATGAGTACCCACTAAAAATAAGCTTTGAATATACATATGATAAAAAAACATGCATATACACACATATATTTACATGTACATATATATTTCTTTCTCAGATGTTATAAAAACAGAGCTATTAAATATATATTAGTGATTATGCATAATATCCAACATCGATAGCCAGACTCAAAGTTTCATGCAAATGTGCAATGTTTTTATATATATATATATATATATATATATAGTAAGTGTTTTGAAAGCAAAGGAAAGAAGTTCCAAAACACAAGCATTCATACAATCACTTCTTTAGATTAACTGAACTCTTGTTGAATATAAAATTGAAAAATATTGTCAATAGAATAGCAAGGAAATTGTTTTAATTCAAAATTTATCTGCAGAACATCCAGAAACATTCTCATGAAAATATTTTAAATATATTCTAAAATAAAAAATAATTGAAATTTATTTTTAAATGATGCAAAACAGTGCAATGATGCACTAAAATATCTTTTATATTAGGCTGATGCAAGCATTTCCTGTATCATCTATGCTCAATGTTAGAGAAATTTTAGAAATACCTTTGAACTTTATTCAGCCTATTGATTGTGTTGTACTATGTTGTTTAAATGCCTCACAAGCTAAGAAAATAGATACCACATGGACACTTGTTTTCTTGTTTGACATAGATTAATGTCATTTTTAGGCAAAATAGTCATCAAAGTTAAAAAATGAATTTAATACAAGAATCCAGAATGAAGAAAATCATAGCTACAACAGTCATCAGCATCTAAACCCAAACAGAATCAACTTTTATGTTGTGGGAAGCATTGTCCTTTGTATTTAATGGGAAACAAAAGAAAACTTATGAAATTGAAACACTAGTGTAATCAGTTGGCTTCACTAAATAATTTACAACAACAGAAAATATCTTTTTTCTGGACAAAAAAGTTGACTGTTGATTTTGCTGCATGATAAATGCAGCAAATCATCATGGAGCTGAGACATGTTGCATATTCGCCAGACCTGCCACTTTCAAACAAGTATTTGTTTTAATCCATACAGCACTTCCTGTGAAGTCTACAGTTCCAACAAGTTCAAGATATAAAACAATCCTCAAAAAATTGATTTAACCAAAACCAGAATCATTCTTTTATGATAGAATATACAATTTCTCTAAATGATGAGATTATAGAAAATGAGGATACAAATTTATGTGACTGTCAAAAATATTGGATACTTTTTACAGCAACCAAATACTTAACTAGAAACTACAAAGCAGGAATTTAGCAATTTTATATGCACTATGGTAATAAAGTCAAACTTTTTGAGTGCTTTTGTGTATCATCATCATTATTATTATTATTATTGTGATGACAACTTATGCCAAAAATGTATCATCTATGATAGTGATTTTGGTCAATGTTATAATTACCATAAATGTTGCAAAAGTTTTACACCATCTTACAATACATATGAACTTTCATACATATAAAATTAACAGAAAATTAATAGCAATGCATGCAAATATTTTTGCCAAAAGCTTTTATTAAATTTTCTAATCAACTGTAATTCATTTATAAGCACTTGCTAAGAACTAAAAGGTGGTCATCCCTGTTTTAATTTGCTTGAACCATAAACAAAAAAATGCTATTTGGTCCCAACCTCCTGCTCTGATTATTAGACTTGGATAATAACATTAAGCATCAGGCAGAAATCATTTTACTTAAAACAAAATAAACAAGTATTTGAAAAATAAAAATTTCACACAAATTCACAAGAGCAATTAAGCATAAAATAAGATTATAACAATCAATCATGGCATTATTTTTTGTCTGGCAATAAGATATAAAAAACAAAATGGAAATTTTGATGAGCAGTAAATTGAATCATTTAAAATATTTTTTAAAGTGAGCCTGACTTCTATAAAATATCAATGTTGTAAAAAATTATTACACAACAAAATCAAAAGAACAAGTTTCGAATGATCACCAACATGTCTGTGCGCCAGATTCTCATTGATGTTTGGATACAAAAGGAAAAATATTGTCTAAAATAAGAATGATATATATCATAACAATCATTTATTTCTTAACTTGGGTCAGATAAATCTACAAACAATACAGTACATTTTTGCTTGGAAGACACGAAAAGGTGCTTCAGTTCATTTGATATTTATCTAATAATATTTTGTTACTGATTAAATGATCAGGAAGAAATTATCAGAAGTGTTATTCCACAATAATAATACATTAAAAGTCATGAATCTGAAAAGTAACTCATTACAAATATATATCTCGAAGATACAAAAATATTTAGAAATAAGGAATCTAATTAATCAACTATCTCAGAAATCAAGTTTTCAAAATTATTCTAAAACTGATTCAATATATCTATTAAGACAGTAGAAAATTAACTCTATAAAGATATAATTAAGCTAAGTTTTAACTGCATGGGTAACAATAAAGCATTAATAGCAATTTATATTTTGCTGAAGAAAAAGAGGACAAACAGAAGATATAAAGAGAAAATGTTATTTAATAGTTCTCTTAAAACTCAATTACCAGTGTATGATACAAATCTGAATTATATTTGCTATATCAGGTAAAAACAATTTGTATTCAGTGAATATAATTTTGGATTTTTGTTTAGTATAATGACAACTTTAATACATTCACATTCATCCATATTATCACTTATGATTTCAGCAATCTTTTAAACATATCTATATAACAGATCTTGCTCCTGTGTGCAATTTCATGCACAAGCTTTTTTCTTTACATAACCCTCTGATCTAATAATAAAAATATTAGAGAGAAAAAAATCAAGAGATGCAAAGTATATAAGAAACAATTTCTTTGGTAAGATCTATATCTAACAAAAAATTAGTCCATTTGTGTATGTTATAAATGTTTGGAATTAACATAATGTGAACAAATTATATCACATTTCATTTTTTTCTTAGAAAGTTAGCAAATTTAAAGTGACTTTCTTCTTCTTTTCTTTTAATAAAGAAATATTTCTTTTTGTAACTGAAATTATTTAAAATTTTTATACCACTGGAAAGAATTTAATAATCTCTATCTATAAAAGGCAGGATGTGTGTGTGTGTGTGTGATGAATGCACGGCCACAATTTTCAATGGATTTGCACCAAAATTTACATGCTCCAAGTTAGTGGGAAAGCCAAGACCAACTTTGCATTTCCCAACTCTCATCGATAGTGGAAATAATCGATTTTTTCATGCTTCTACAGCAGTTTTCATGTACTTTGCAGCCATTTTCTACTGGCCAGAGTGAGAGCCTATAACTGGCTGCCACGAATAGGCAGGAAGATTCTACTGGTCAGCATGAGAGCCAACAGCTGATTGACACGAATGTTAACTAGCACAAAAAAAAAAAAAAAAAAAAAAATCGATAGCTGCATTCGTCACGAGTGTAAAAATTTTAATCTGCATGGCACTTTACTCCAATTGGCTCATTCGCTTGCTTAAACTCAATGTTGATTCTGATTCCGCAGAACTGGGTTGGGTATGAAAAAGTATTTGTTGTTAACATTCTTTTTTCATTCAGTTTTTCCAGTTATGAGTCCTTTTTTAAAGCTGATCGTTTTGTGTTCATTTTGTTTAGTTCTTTTTTCGTAACAGATTTAATGTTTAGTATAGAGCTTAGAAAAAATTTGCAGTGTGAGATAGGCAAGAAGTAAAGCATGTAGCCACATCAGCATGGCAAAGGGTACTCCTTTAAAGGCAAGGAAGGGCAAAAATATTTTAAGTGATAGTGATTGCTGTATGAGTCATACAATTTTTGAATCAAGCATGGGCAGCGCCGGGTCATGCTGCTAGTATTATATATACTTATGCTAGCTATGAATAATCATAGCATTATTATAAAAAAATAGTATATCAAAACAATATAAAGGCCACTGCAACAAGTTTCATAGAGATTAACTGTCAATTATACATTGTTGTAAGACATTATTCTGGTGCCTTTTGTATACAGACAAATACCACCACCTGTTTGTACAATATAACAGTTATATTGTCTCTGTGGTAAGTCATATTTTCAGAATAAAATGGTTTCACCTTATCTTAGAATAGCTTTGCATATTTGAGTCAAACTTCTCTTCCATTTTTGTCTATGCAATGTGGCATTTTTATCCTAGGATGATTTCATGAAGATAAGCAATTCAAAAGCAAATAGTTATTCTTTAAAAAAAAATACAATATTGTCCATTTTTGATGGATAATACATTTCTGAATGAATAAAATATAAACCTTTTTCTTCTTTTAAAAAGGTACTGAAATACTGTCACTTATCTCAGAACTCATGCAAATTTGCATTTTTTAAGAATTTGAAACCATCAGAGCCTAAGAAGTATTAAAACATTGTACAAATTGCTTAAAGAATTTTTTCTGTTCTTTAAATTATCATTATAGGAATTAATGGAGAAATGGCAACTTAATAGGCAAGAAGAGTGTTAATATTGCTAACTAGAAGGCAGATTTCAGCTTTAATTAATAATCCAATGCAACTTATAAATATTTAACTTACCCGAGGTAATTGGACAAGGTCATTACAATCTAGCCAGAGTTCTTGTAAACTGTATAAATCTCCAATAGTTTCTGGCTGGAAAAAATAAAAATAAAATAGATTAATATCAATTTTAATTACTTATGGAAAAAATTCCATTAAATTTAAAAAAATATAATGAATAGAGTATTTCAATGAAATAAAATTTAACAAGCTTATCAATCCTGAGTAAAAATAAAAATAAAATAAAGGACACTACTATTTATATAGGTACATCAATGAGTTCAGTTTAATGAGAAAAAAAGCATTTATGATTTATGACAAATATTTTCTTGTCAATGCACTTAATCAGTGATGAATATTTATTATACAGAACATTAGACAGTGATATAATATTCAGCTAATAACCACATGTTAGTCAACAATCAGTTTAATGATTCACCCTTATACATCAAAACTATGAAATCATGGTTGAATCCTTGTTTTCTCAAATTATAGCAAAGTCAGTGCATTATTATAAGAGTCTACACTTACTATTATTGTCACCATAATGGATCCAATTGAGATACCACTGTACGTGAAGAATATCTTTTTTTCTCTCCTCATAGTGCATTAATGAGTAATACACCCAACATTTTGGAATGCACTTCTGATTACATACTTCCATCAAGGAATTTAGGAAGTTATTTTTTAAATTTATGTAGAGCATAAGCAATTTTCAAAAGTTCAGCCTCAATGTCAAGTAATGTTTTATTATTCTTTATCAATTTTATAGCTCTCTTTACTTATGTTTGTTATTGTTTATGTTTAGTAAAAAAAAAACTAAAAACAATTTTAAACACTACACTTATTGTGTTTAAAATTATTGTAAAAAATTTATTTTAAAAAAAGGGAAATGAATTGGATCCTGACCGAGCCCTCAACTACTGCAGCATCAGGTTAAGCTAATATATATATATATATATATATATATATATATATATATATATATATCCCCCCCGTGTGCGTGTGTTAAAGCTCTTAGAATAAATCTGTAGTGAAGACAAATTGAATAAAATAGACAATTGGAAGATAGTCCTTGCCAACACATTTCCTCATTTGACTTTATCAAGGCAAGTAGTGATAAACAAAAGCGAAATGTTGTGTGGCTACATGAAATTCAAAAATTTTAAAAAGACGGAAATGGGAGCAGTTTTCATGTTAAACTATTCCTTTTAATCAGACATAAGATATTTTTTCTCATCTATACTTGTTACAAAGATACTGCTCTTGTATTACTATATACAACTGCCTTGCAAACTATTCTGAAGTTTGTATGTGTGCGCATGAATGTGAGGTGGGATCCAATTACTATGTTTGCATTTGCTGTAGCAAATAACACAATCATAGGTATAGCAAATGATAGTATAGAAAAAATTGGAGCCAGATATTTTTACTAAAAATTTGATAGGATGCCAAGACCATATTTCATTCTTTCAAACTTGAAAAGTCAGAGCCAAGGTAATTTAATGCTGAAAAATCTGAGAAAATTTCAGGTCAGACAAATTCTAAAGTGACTCATTTCTGCAGTAAATTATCATCTCTTCTAGATATGTGCAGCTATGCAATCAATGTTGAAGTAGGATGCACTTGAGTGTGGAGATGACAAATAATAGGCAAGTGATGCAAAACACTAACAAGACAAGAGAAAGTTACAAAACTATTTAGATGTAACAAACAATTTTTAAAAAAATGAAAGAAAAAAAAGTGAAAATTTTATTGAAAATATTTTATGGATTCTTGACTGTTTTAACCAACATGGGAAAATCTGGTGATAGTTATCATTGGAAAGGAACATTTTCCTCGAGAGAGATAAATGCCATTTAGAGAAAATTTATTAAATAAGTTAGGTAATTAAATCAGCAGGTAAGTCAGAATAAGCTCAATTTGTTAAACAAATAATTAATATTTATTGTTAAATCCCCAGAATAACAAAATGCATAACACAAGAAATAAGATTAACAAATAAACCCAGTTAAAAGATTAGACTGAGCATTATGTCAATAAATCCTCCTAAACAGCACTAGGTTACAAGAGCACTTCACTCAAAACAAATCTAAGAAAAATAAAACTATGAATTTGATTATTAGACCTTCAAAATACATTCTCTAAATGAAATCTAACAAAATGAAGGTTCAAAATGATCAGAATTACAAAGGATAAAACATGAAAAGTAAATAGCTTAAAGAAATTTACAAAAAATTAGAAAGAACAGAAAAAAAATTCTATTTGTCCAAAATAAATTTAATAATGGGTATTTAATAAATATAATTTTAAATGTGTGTGCATATGTTTAAAATTATATCTAGAAACTGAAACAAAAACAGCAGAGATGACCTGGCTTGATAAAACACTGAGTTACATTTCAACCCTGACCACAAGCTAATAACACCCATGAAAATAGAACATACACCAGTTTACATTTGAATGTTACAATGTCTGTTACTAAACATAAACAATAATAAAACGCAAGTAAAGAAAGCTATAAAATAGGTAAAGAATAATAAAACATTACTTGACATTGAGGCTGAACTTTTGAAAATTGCTTATGCTCTACATAAATTTAAAAAATAACTTCCTAAATTCCTTGATGGAAGTATGTAATCAGAAGTGCATTCCAAAATGTTGGGTGTATTACTCATTAATGCACTATGAGGAGAGAAAGAAAAAAGATACTCTTCATGTACAGAGGTATCTCAATTGGATCCATTAGGGTGAAGATGATAATTAACATTGTATTAACTAAACTGAAGCTGCTGTGTAGACCGCACAATAGCATATGACCACATCAATAGAGATTTCCTCTTCTCGTCAATTAGAAACCACCTCCCAGGCTTTGAATCCAGTGAATATATAGAGCTGATAGAACATATTGGTCCACAAACTCATACATGTCAGGTGAGGACCCCAATACCAAAGCATTCCAAAACTCATTAGGAGTATGACAAAGATGAAATAAAGCTATAATTTATTTAATCTCTTCCTAGACTATGCTCTGCATATATACAAGCACAGATGTGAAGAGATGGACATTGATCTTTTAAGCATTTCATACCATATCCCAAATAAACCTAATAGAAAACAGCAATCCTGATTCCCCTCTAAAGGTCAATGTACAGAAGATTGGTGGGTGGTGGGCTATACTGCTGATATACGTATTCATAGTGTGGATAAAAATGATATTTACCAAAACAATGAATATCCTCTATTAAACACTTCAAATACCTTGGTGTATGGATCAACCATAAGAAATTTAGTATAAGAGATATGGGAACTGAACATAGAATAGGCTGTGCTATAGGTAGTTTCACCCAACACTGCAAATTGCTACAAAACTAATACTTAACCTAAAAACTAAAGTTATGTTCTTAAATATTTACATCAGATTGAAAGTTTCATATGGATGCCATACATGTCAAACTCGTTCAGAAATATATAAACTGTCAGCTATATACAACTGCTTTTTCAGATTGTTAAAAATAGCTTTGAATGAGTGAAGCATGTTGGTCTCAGCAAGAATGATCTTTCTTCAAACCTTGTGGACTGGTATTACAGAATCACAAAGAACTATACCACCTCAAACAAAAACAAAAAAAGAAAACCCCCATCAATAGTGGAAAGAGCAATAACAGCTAATGAACTTGAGAAACCTATTTTCCCGAAAAATTGTTTTAAGTGTAATATTTTATAAATTTCGACTGAGTATATTATCCTGAGTGTTATAAATACTTGCACTGACCAGTTTTTTCTGAAAACCTTTTAAATTGTTACACATTCCTTATTGAAATATCTGTAAATAACCTTTCCTCCTTTCTTATTGGTAGCAGGTGCAATGAAAATTACAGAGAGATATTACCATTTTCTTTTAATGATGCAGATCTGGAAATTTTATTTAAAATTTTTTTTAGCTAAATGTTATTAAAAAATATAGCAAAAAGTAACAAAATGACAAAAAATATGCAAGACAGAAACAATTAAAAACCCAAAATCAAAATAAAGAATTTTTACAAAATGTTTCCAAGTACATATATTTTTAAAAAGAAATACAGAAATAGCAATTTGAACACCCATATATTATAGCAGTTGTGCAATAGAACAAATGACACACTGGCAACCCACCGATTTGTAAATACACCTAAATCTCATTATCATTTATTAAGAGCTTAGTTAAAACTACTTAGATACAATTGTTTTAAAATGCTTCCTTTTCACAAATTCTATTTCTCAAAACAGATCACTTGTTATGGAGAACACCCCCCCCCACCAAAAAAAGAAAGATCAATATACATTACTTTCTCATTATCTCCAAAATCTCTCCGAGGAACCTTATCTAAGAATAACAAAACCAGTTTTATCTTGGATCTGACCAGCTGTTACCCTGTTATCAAATACTTCTTCATAGTTACACTGCTAGGTCAATGATTTCAAAGATAAGGAACTAGAGCTGTCCTCTCCAAGAGATTTAATCAGAAACCTAATTTAGGTGTTGTTATTGATATAAACCCATTTCTGACACATTATACAGATTAACACTTCCAAGTAGCTTAACAATATAAATGCTCCTCAAAGTTTTTTTTCTATTTAAATGCAAAGAGGTTCATGGCTTGAGAATTTCTTAATTTAACATTTTATTTGAAAAAAATTGATATATTATATCCAGTCAAAATTAAAGTTGCATATTTGCATCAGTAAACAATTTTATTCGTTTCTATTAGTTACTAGTAAATACCTATAAAAAAGAAAACTTATTATAAGCAGCTTGGCAGAAATTATACTATGCAAAATGTAGGTCGGCTCAATTATTTCAGGCAAATTAGGCTCAAAGATAGAACACACTATATTTTGAAAATCTTTCATATTTTAACTGGAAAAAGTCTTCTGAATAATGCAAAATTACCAACAAGAATACACTACCCAATAACATACTCTAAAATATTTATTAAAGAGATGCTAAATTTGTATAATATTAGGTTGGTGCAAAAATAATGACATAATAATGTCGTTTTTTGACGTATTTTTTAACGTCAAAAAACGACATTATTACGTCATTATTTTTG